CCGTCGCGGGGCTCTCCTGGCGGCGTCTTGGGGCCCTCTCGGGTGCCTTTCTGGGCGCTCTTGGGGTTCTCTTGGGCCCGTCTTGGAGCCCTCTTGGGCTGTCTTGGGACTCTCTTGGATCGGTTTCGGGCTCTTTGGGGGGCCTCTTGGGCTATCTTGGGGCGATCTTTGGAGCCTCTTGGGCCGGTTCGGGCTGGGGAACCAGAAGAACCTCTGACAACCACGCAAAAATCAATGACATGTCCCTCTTGGGGCCCTCTTGGGAAGCCTCTCGGGGGCCTCTTGGGGCGTCTCGGGGCCCCCTTGGACGGTCTTGGGCGATCTTGGGGTCTCCTGGAGCGCTCTTGGGCTGTCTTGGAGCGCTCGTGGACCCCTCTTGGGAGTATCTTGGGCCGTCTGGGGCGCCTCTGGGACCGCCCGAAAATTTCGGGAAGGCCGAAACTCGTTTGGGGAGGGGGGTTGCTCCGTCCGGGGTCCGTCCAGGGTCCCCGGCCTTATAAAAGTATATGCGTAGGAATATATTTGAGTAGGCCGGGAGGAGGGGGATGGGGGGGGGGGGGGAAATCGGTGCCGTCATCCCCCATGGCGCCCCCCCCCGAATTTTTGGGGGGTCACAGACCCCCCGGGACTGCCGCCTTGGGCCGCTTCCAAATGGCCCACGACAGGCCACTCGGGCCATACGGATGGTCACGAAGGCCTGAAGAGGCCCCGAAGACGCCCAAGAACACCCCAAGAGGGCCCGTGAGGGCCCCAAGAAGGCCTTCAAGAGGCAAAACTTGGCTCATTTCCGTCGTAAAACGTGCGTTTTCGGCATACTCGCTGGCTCCGTTTTCGCAGTGCCAGACGCCCCCGCGGAGCCCCAACACAGCCCAAGAGAGACCCAAGAGGGCCCAAAACGGCCCCAAAGGGTCGGCCTGTGAGGTTCACGAAACCCGCAAAACGGCCCAAGAGGCCCCAAAGCTTGCCCGGAAGGCCCCCAAAACTGCCTCAGGGAGGCCCAAGAAGGCCCCGTTCGAAGTCATGTTCCCGGAAGCCTCTCGGGGAATATGATATCCGGGCTCCCAGGGCCCCCTGCTGAGCCCCAGGACAGCCTCAGCGAGGCTCCAGAGGGCCCGAGATGGCTTCAAGATGGCCGAAGAGGGCCCCAAGAGGGCCTTCAAGAGGCACAAATCTGCCCATTTCTTTCGTGAACCGTGCGTTTTCGGCATGCTCGTTGGCTTCGTCTTCGCAGTGCCCCAGACGCCCCCGCGGAGCCCCAACACAGCCTAAGAGAGACCCAGGAGGGCCCAAGACGGCCCAAAAGGGTCGGCCTGTGGGGCCCACGGACCCCCCCAAGACGGCCCAAGAGTAACCAAAGCCGGCCCAGGAGGCCCCCAAGACAACCTCAGGGAGGCCCACGAGGGCCCTGTTCGAAATCATGTTCCCGGAAGCCTCTCCGGGAATATGACTTTTGGGCCCCCAGAGCCCCCACTGAGCCCCAGGACAGCCTCAGCGAGGCCCAGGAGGGCCCGAGATGGCTTGAAGATGGCCGAAGAGGGCCCCAAGAGGGCCTTCAAGAGGCACACATCGGCCCATTTCCAAAGTAAAACGTACATTTTCAGCATACTCGCTGGCTTCGTCTTCGCAGTGCCCCAGACTCTCCCGAGGAGCCCCAAGACAGCCCAAGAGAGACCCAAGAGGGCCCAAGACGGCCCAAAAGGGAAGGAGGCCCCCAAGACGGCCCCCGTTCGAAGCCATGTTCCCGGAAGCCTCTCCTGGAACATGATTTCCGGGTTCCGAGGGCGCCCAAAGGGGCCCACAAGACAGCCTCAGCGAGGCCCAAGAGGGCCCGAGATAGCTTCAAGATGGCCGAAGAGGGCCCCAAGAGGGCCTTCAAGAGGCACAAATCAGCCCGTTCCCGTAGTAAAACGTACATTTTCAGCATGTTCCTTTGCTTCGCCTTCGCAGTGCCCCAGAACCGAGGAGCCCCAAGACAGCCCAAGAGAGACCCAAGAGGGCCCAAGACGGCCCAAAAGGGTCGTCCTGTGAGGCTGACGGAACCCCCGAGACGGCCCAAGAGGCCCCAAAGCCAAGCCAGGAGAGCCTCGTTCGAAATCATGTTCCGGAAGCCTCTCTGGGAACATGATTTCCGGGCTCCCAGGACGCCCAAGGACAGCCCCCAGAGGCCCCGGACACGCCGAAGATGTGTTGGGAGGCTTTTTGGGCCGTCTTGGCAGCATCTTGGGCCGTCTTGGGGCCATCGTGGGACATCTTGGGGCCATTTTGGGCCCTCTTGGGCTCCTGAGGTTGTCTTCGGAGCCTCTTCGGGCAATCTTGGGGGCCTCTCGGGCCGTTCTGGCCGCGCGGTGGCGTCACCATGAGAATCCTGGGGTGGCCCGGAGCAGCCAGGATTTGAGGTTCCCCCAACCCCGTTGGCTGTTTGGTGGCGCGGCGGGGCCCCCTAGCAGGCAGTCGAAGTAAACAGGAGGCAGGAATCAGGACTTGAGAGACAAAATGCCAGACAACCAATGACAACACATGACATGAAAGCAGACCGCACACACCTTCGCAGCCTTGCGCCCCCAGAAGGTGCTGGCGGATTTAGAGAGATACGCAGATTTACAGATATACATATCTGTGCATAGGTGTGTACACGTTCTCAAATGCACAAGCGCGCGTGTGTCTCTGCAGCCTTTTTGTTTCGGGGGCGGGCCTCAGATCGAACGCGCCGCCGCGCGCCTCCCCCCCGCGCCGCGATCGGGGCCGCCCTCCCTGCCAGGCATCCTGATGGCCTGCCATGGCGGCCGGGTCGGAAGGCGCAGGGGCCCCTGCCGCGCTGGCCGACCTGGCGGGCACGGTGGACCTCGGGGACTTGGTGCGCGCGGTGGCGCGCGGCTGCCACGCGGAGCTGCTCGAGGCGGCGGGCCGCCAGGGGGCCGAGGGGAGGCCGGAGGCGGCGCTGCAGGCGGCCGCCCGGGCGGCGCACGCGCGCCTCCTGCGGCTGAGTGTGCTGCTCAACTGCGCCGCGCCCGGCTCGCGCGGCTTCGCCGAGGCCTTCGAGCCGGGGCTCGCTGAGGCCCGGCGGTGCCTGACGCTCGAGCGCCACGCGGCCCAGGTGCTCCAGTGCGGCGACCAGATGGCCCGCGCCCGCGAGGAGCTGATGGGGGTCCTGGCCACGAGGCCAGGGCTGACCTAAACGCTGTTTTGCTGGACCTCGGCTGGGTTTTGTTTTCGTTTTGGTGGGGAGGTACAGGAAAACAGGGGGAGCGAAACGAGCAACAAAACGAGACCAAAACGATAAACAACGTTTAGGTCCAACCCTGCCACGAGGCAGCACGACGTGGAGGCCGCGGCCGCGCTGCTCTGCGGTGGGGGCCTGCAGCGCGTGGGTTGGCCCGCGCTGGCAGGCCACGTGGTGGCGGACCTGGGCAAGCCCTTCGCGTCGTGGCCGCTGTCGCCAGCGCAGCGCGCGGCGGCGCAGGAGGAGCTCGTGACGGGGACCCTGTGCTGCCTGGCCCGCAGCCGCTGCGTGCGAGACCCTGCCCGCCTCCGCGTCGAGCGGGACGAGGACGTCGTGCGGCTCACGGCCCCTGGCGCCTTCGCGCTGCGCGCTGTCTACGACATGCGCCGATGGGTGGTGCTGGGAGCTGAGGTCTTCGCCGGCCGAGGCTTCGGCATCACGGTCGGCCCCGAAGCGGAACAGGCGTTGTGCCAGCAGCTCCAGCTCGCCGCCGACTCACAGCCACAGGGCGAAGCCGGTGACGCCCCTGGGGCGATCTGCGCCGCAGCCCACGCGTTCTGCTCGCACCTGTGGCTGCGCGCGCTGCATGGCGAGGCCGTGCACCTGTCGGGGGAGAGGCAGTGGGAGGTCGGCGGCGTGGCCTGGGACAAGCGCAGGCGCGTCGTGCTCCGCGTCTGCCCCGCGTGGACGCCGACCTGCGGGGGGCTTCTGCCGACGGTGCCGACGGCCAGCTCGGACGCGCCCCGGCCGAGCACGACCGAGATGGACGCCGGTTACTCCTCCTCTCGGAAGTCAGGGGCGGCCTAACCCACCCCTAGCAAGCCATCCCCGTCCGTGACGTCATCCTCGCCTCGCCCCAAGACTCACCACCCACCAAACCACCCCAAACCAACCCGAAGGCCTCAATTTGCCCTCCATTTCCAGTGGGGGGGTCGAGGAACATTGAAAAAACAGATGCGGAACTCGTACCCCCCCCCAGCCCGAAATTCAGGTCTTCGGGTTGGGTTGGGGTTGTCTGGTAGGTAGTCAAAGACGCATCGGTGCGGCCGGAGGGAAGCCCGAAAGGCGAGGATGACGCCACGGAAGGGGATGGTGGTTCGCTGGGGGTCGGTTGGGCCGCGCCCGAGGACGGGGGAGGACGGCGCGGGCTGTGTCCTGGAGCTGCAGGCCGACCCCCTGGGGGGCGTCCGCGCGACCTCCTCCCCGGAGCTCGGGCTGGGGCCCGCTCCGCCGCTTGCGCTGGAGGCCGAAGGGGCAGGCTTCCTCGAAGGCCTGCTCGACGTGGCTCGGCAGCGCCTGGCGGCGCTGCACCTGCGGCGCGTGCGGGCGGCGTTGGTGGAGGGAGGGGCGCTGCGAGGTGACCACGCGGAGCTTCTGGAGCACGGGCCCGTGCTGCAGGTCGACCTGCGCTGCTGCCGGCTGTGGGTGCTCATGGACGCGGCTGGCCACATCGGCGTGCGCGGAGATGGTTGGTGCGAGCCGCGGGAGGAGGCGGCAAAGGCGTCGACGCTGAGGGGCACGCGAGAGAGCTTGATGGCGCGCCTGGAGAAAGCCCGCTGGGAGGCGCTGTGCGTGACGGTGGAGGCCGAGGCAGAGGCGTTGGGGTGGTCTCTCGCTGCCAGCGCGGACGCGGCTCCGGAGGGCGAGACCCCGCAGCGCGCCGCCGAGTGGCAGCGCAGCGCGCGCCAGTTCTGCTTCTGCCTGGGCGATCACGCCATCGCGCTGCGCTTCGAGCTACGCGACGCAGAGGTGGGGTCCGTGGCGCTGTGTCTCGCGCAGGATGGGGAGGGAGGGCCGGGCGTGCCTCTGGAGGGTCTGGCGGTCGGGCTGCGCGCTTTCACCTTCGCCACTGGTGCGCCCGCAGACGGCATGGCTCGCCTTCGCGCAGAGCTCGGCCGCATGTTCGGGGCGGCTCGCGCGCATGTGGAGGCCATGGCCTTCGGAGGCCAGGTCCTGGAGAGCCTCGCGCTGCGCGCAGACGCGGGCGTGGGCAGGGGGCTGCCCTTGTGGAGTGTGCTGGCCTCGCGAGCAGAGGCAGGCCTGCAGTGCCGGCTGGACTGGGACAGCAGCAGGAGCGCGAGGGCGAGGTCGAGCCGATCCATGCCTTTCATGCCTCCCTTGCTCGTCTCGGTGAACGAGGCCTCTCGCTCCTGGTCCCTCCACGGGGCCCTCTGCTCGGAGGTCCCAGTCGTGTCGGCCTCCGCGAGCACTGGAACCGCAGCGGGGTCTGGCGGGATCAGCGACGCCGGCAGGGTGTACACCGAGGTCCTCCCGTCGGGTGGGCGTGTCACGGTGAAGCCTGCCCGCGCCGTCGCGCAGCAGTTCTGGGGCCTGGCGCGCCTTCTGGCGGGCGGGGCGCACGTGAGGGCAGGGCCGCCAGACGAGGAGGCCAGCCAGGCAGACGGGCGTCGCACAAGGGGGGGCGGCGATAAATGAGGGGGGGGGGGCAGCGAGGGCTGCAGAAGAGGGGCCCCTTTGGGACCCCAAGCCCAGACATCCTACGCCTCGATTTTTTCGAGACGGGCTCCCGACCTCCCGACCCCTTCCCCGGGACTGGTTTTTCATCCCGAGTCGTCTTTTGACGGTCCCGAGGCCCGGCGCGGGCCCCCCGAGGCCGAAAACGACGAAAAACCTCCGTCTCGATTTTTTCGAGACGCCCGATGTCTGGGAGGGAGGCCTGTGGGGAAAGTGCACCTTTCTTCCTTCCCCCTCCTCCATTTCCCCCTCCCCCCCAGTGTACAGTCGGCCTTGAGTAGTTAGGTCGACCCTGCCAAATCAAGGGTACCCTCGTGCCCTGTGCCTCGCGACCCATAGGCCTCCTGCACTCCGTTGGCGCCGTGGCCCTCGGAAGGGTATTGCGCCCTGTCGCCTGCCCTGGCCCTTCGAGTCTGCCTGTGAGCGACGCCCGAGGCGATCCTGGAGTACAGCGGGGCTGCCGACTGGCGGCGGTGGCCCGGCGACCTGGCGGCCCTGGCGCTGCTCATCGACTTCGCCCGGCAGGCCACGGCCCTGGAGGCGCGGGCCCGGGAGGCCGACGGGCGCGCGGAGCAGGACGCCCAGCCGCTGCCGAGGCTCGAGGCCTTCGGCGGGGGGATCGACTACAGAATCGAGGTGCCCCGATAGTTGATTTCCACGTCGACTCTTCAACAGGAGCACGTCAGGCATTCGTAGATTGATCTGCGAGGGTTCTGCGACTTGCCCGTGGATTCGACAAGAGGAGGAGGAGGAGGAGGAGGAGGAGGAGGAGGAGGCAGAGGAGGCAGAGGAGGAGGAGGAGGGAGGAGGAGGAGGAGGAGAGGAGGAGGGAGGAGGAGGAGGAGGAGGGAGGAGGAGGAGGAGGCGGAGAGGAGGAGGAGGAGGAGGAGGAGGAGGAGGAGGAGGAGGAGGAGGATGGGGCAAGTCAGTTCTGTAGTCGACCCCCTGCTCGAGGCCTGCGCGCTCGGGCGGATCCGGTGGCGCCTGCCCATGCCCGCCGGCGACGACGAGCTCTTCGAGCTGGTGGCCAGCGCGAGCCCCGAGAGGGAGGCCTTCGGAGGAGGAGAAGGTAGTTACTCCAGATTTCGTAACAAAAGGGAGGGGGTCTGGACCCTCCAAGACAAGCCGCCATTTCAGACCTCCCCCGTGGGAGAACCCTCCAGAGCGTCGTCCCCAGACCCCCCAGGCCCTCCAAGATAGCCTGGAAGAGACCCCCCCCGAAGTGAGACCCCCCTCCCTTTATTACGAAATCTGGAGTACCCCTACCGCTACCCCAGCTCGGTGTTCCCCTCGTTGGGCCTCCTGGGAGGCCCTCGCTGCCAGCGCCGGGTTCGCCTCGAAGGCCTGGGCCCAGCGCAGCCCAGGAGAGGTCTGGGGGAGTAGCGGTACCGGCACCATCTGGTTCCCCCAAGGCCCGTGACCCGCCCGCGCCCGCCGCAGGCTCGAGCAGCCGGCCGGGCGCCGCCAGGAAGAAGGCCCTGGTCTGCAGCTTCCGCTGGGCCGCGCCGCGCCAGTCCTTCACGGTGGCCGCCGAGCTCTCGCGGCAGGTCTGCCGCACGCGCGACGTGGCTGCCGCCCTGCGCACGGCGGCCGCGGTCGCGGAGCTGGTGCGGGCCGTCGACGACGTCACCGACGGCCAGGATCGGGGAAGCGTAAGACTCGAGCAAGCCGGAACTCGGGCTTGCCAACGTCTTTTGATGAGCGCGTCCTGGATGTTGACGGTCCAGTTCTCGTGGGGCGTGTGCAGCGGGAGGCCGCGTCAAATTTCAGATCGGGTCTCGTCATTTCTATGATGGCCCCCCTCAGGCCAACCCGAGTCCCCCGTGCCCGAGTCTTACGTCTCCCGGACAGGACGGGTGGGTCGCGCACAGCAGCGTCGCAACGGCCATCTGCGTGGAGTTCAAGGGGCTGGTGGGTGTCAAGGTCTGGGCCGAGAGGCTCCTGCTTTCGGCTCTGCCCCTCCTTCCCCTTCTTCCCCCTCTTCGCCTCCTCACCCTCCTTCCCGTACTTTCCCCGATCCCTCTTCCCTGGTTGGGGATCAGTGCGACCAGTAACGTGAAGCCCCACCGTCGTGTCTACCTTACTCGGGTGACGGCGGGCCTGTGGCCGAAGCAGCTCAGTCAGGCTGAGCAGCGTCACATCGGTCTGTAGTCTGTCTTTCAACGACAGTGTCGTAAAGCTCGATGCTCGATACTCCCTTTTCCCTGGTCGACGGCATACAGTCGGGGCCCTGACGAAGGAACCCTTTTCGTTGGGGAGGGGCTCCGTTTTCCTTAAGTGTTTCGCAGCTTGCCTCAGGCTTTCCTCATGTCTTCGACAGGAAGTCGAAGTTTAACTTCTGGAGAGAAGGGGCCTCGTTCCTTATTTAGGGTTCCTTAGGTCAACGCCCCGACTGTACAGCTCGATACTCGATACTCCCTCTTCCCTGGCCGACGGCATGCCGCGAAGTGCGCCTTCCCCTCCTGTGGAGGGGAAGGAGGGAGCAGCACCCTGCGGTGCGAGCCTCCCCGCCCGAGCAAGGTGCAGTCGGACGGGCCGGGGGTGGTCAGCTGCCACAGGCTCCCCCGCCCGCAGGACGGGGAGCGGCCGCAGCTGGCGGTCGCCGGGACGTGCAAGCTTCAAGATCATATATGACCCCAGGCAGGATCGCGTCGCAACAAAAATCAGGACGGAGGTCTTTCGCCGTTGTCGACTTCCAGAGGCCCTCGCCGGGCCCAGGGACCGTCAAAAAACGACTCAGGATGAAAAACCGGTCCCGGGGAAAGGGTCGGGATTTCCAGGGACCGCGTATTGAAATTTGCCTGGCGAAGGACCCAGCCATATGCAGCTGTGAGTGCCCTAATTGGGTGTATCGAATTCGGTAAAGCTCCCGATGGGGCGACGAAACATATGAGAGATGAGCCGAAGTGGGGGTGCAACTGCATGCGAACCCTGCAACTGGGGCCTTCGGTGGAACCCCTTATGGGGCCACTGTCCGTGTGAGGAGTGCGCCGAAATGGAGTGTGAACTGCTTGCGCACTTTCCCACTGACCTGCGGGGGGCGTCCTGTGGGGCCACGAACAGTGTGAGAGGTGCGACGAAATGAAGGTGGAACCACATGCGAACTGTCCCACGGGGGCCTTCGGTGGAGCTGCCTACTGGGCCACGACACGCGTGAGGGGTGCGCCGGAATGAAATGGAATTGCATGCGACTTTCCCACTTGAACCTTCGATGGAGCTCCCTATGGGGCCACGAAACGCGTGAGGTGTGCGCCGAAATGGGGGGTGGAATTGTATGCGAAATTTCCCACTGGGGCCTTCGGTGGAGCTCCCTATGGGGCCACGAACTGTGTGAGGGGTGCGCCGAAACGGGGGGAGGAACTGCATGCGAACTTTGCCACTGGGGCCTTCGGTGGAGCTCCCTGCGGGGCCACGAACCGTGTGAGGGGTGCGACGAAACGGAGGGGGGAACCGCCACGAACCGTGTGAGGGGTGCGCCGGACTGGGGGGTGGAACTGCATGCGAATTTTGCTACTGGGGCCTTCGGTTGAGCTCCCTACTGGGCCACGAACCGTGTGAGGGGTGCGACGAAATGGAGGGGGGAACCACAGGCGAACTTTCCCACTGGGGCCTTCGGTGGAGCTCCTTATGGGGCCACGAACCGTGTGAGGGGTGCGACGAAATGTAGGTGGAACTGCATGCGAATTTATCCACTGGGGCCTTCGGTGGAGCTCCCTACGGGGCCACGAACCGTGTGAAGGTTGCGCCGATATTTTCACATGCGGATTTTCCCACTGGGGCCTTCGGTGGAGCTCCCTACGGCGTCACGAACCGTGTGAGAGGTGCGCCGAAATGAGGTGGAACTGCATGCGATCTTTCCCACTGGAACATTCGTTGGAGTTCCCAATGGGACCACGATCCGTGGAGGGGTGCGCCAGAATGTGGGGTGGAATTGTGTGCGAAATTTCCCATTGGGGCCTTCGGTGGAGCTCCCTATGGGCCACGAACCGTGTGAGGGGTGCGGCGAAATGGAGGGTGGAACCGCAGGCGAACTTTCCCACTGGGACCTTTGGTGGAGTTCCCAATGGGGCCACGAACCGTGTTAGGGGTGCGAACTGCATGCGAATTTTGCCACTGGGGCCTTCGGTGCAGCTCTTTACTGGGCCACAGAAGGGCGCAAGGGGTGTGAGGAGCGGGAGGAGGGTGAGGAGGGAGGAGGGGGAGGAGGAGGAGAGGAGGAGCAGGGACGCGGGCCGCTGTCTCTGCAAAACGAGACCCAACACCACAGGATGGTTGGGAAAACTCGAGACGTCGCATGTCTGGGACCGATCTCGATCACCATTGGGCCATGGTATCCCAGCGGACGCGGGGCGCTGTCTCTGCAAAACGAGACCCAACACCACAGGATGGTTGGGACAACTCAAGACGTCGCATGTCTGGGACCGATCTCGATCCCCATTGGGCCATGGTATCCCAGCCTAACCATCCCATCCCAATTACGGTCCCCCCCCTCAGGCGGCCAAAACAGGGCCAAAACCATTGTAAAACCAATGAGTGTTGTTTCCTCGCCGAGGCCGTTTTGGATTCTCCGACACCTCGCGAACCCCCCTATCCAGGTCCAGGGGAAGGGGTAGGGGGAGGGGTCAAGACCCCCTCCCCGCCCGCAAGCCGTCTCGCTCACTCCCACCCGCCCTCCCAACACATACGTAGCACCCGAGTCTGGCCCGAGCCTCAGCATATTCAGCAGTCGTCTTTGGATGGGCAGCTACTGGGGGCCAATCCGCCGCCGCCGCCGCCGCCGCCGCCTCCGCCGCCGCCGCCGCCGCCGCCGCCGCCGCCCCCCGCTGCCAAACCGCCGCTGCCGCCGCAGCCGCTGCCGCCACCGCCACCGCCGCCGCCGCCCGCCGCCGCCACCGCCCCGCCGTCGCCGCCGCCGCCGCCGCCGCAGCCGCCGCAGCCGCCGCCGCCACCGCCGCCGCAGCCGCCGCCGCCGCCAAGTGTACTCTGTATTGGTTGTTGATAGGGATGGGGGGGGCCGCATCGGGTTGGCTGCGCATGTTCCGAATTTGGAGGCAGAGTGTGTTTTGTATTGTTTTTTTACAAGTGATGGTGTGGGGGGGGGGTCATGGACCCTGGTTGGCCCCCAGTCGCCTGGGGGAGGGGGTGTTGTTTATTAATAGGGAACAGTGATACAGTGATAAACCCATCCCCCCTCCCCGAAGGGGAAGAGGAGGGGTGGAAGAGGAACCCCCCTAAACCACCGACGCCCAGAGGGCTGGTGGGATTCCCTTGCCCCCGCCGCTGTTGGTCCGCGAGCGCACCATGGGCCATGATGTGCGCCCCCGCTTTCGGATGCCGAAATCTCGGGCACTGCTCAAAGGGGTCGCCAGAAGGGCTACCAGCTCCTCCCCTGCCGAGGATCGAGGAAAAAACATGGTCGAGGACCGAGGAGGTCTAGGCGTTTGGGGTGGTCTTTGAGGGTCCTGGGGGTCCACGGGGGCCCGTTTCCTATGGGAGTTTTGGCGACCCCCATTGCGGTGACCCCACCATGGCATATATCAGAAGTCGGGCAAAGGGGCACGTTGTGATGCCATCGTGGCTAAGACTCCGCCGCAGTAGCGGCATCCGTATCCACCTCCTCGGAGTCGTGCCCCAGGGCATCGACGGACAAGGCGTGGTGAATATGGACGGCCGTCCGCCCCCCAGGTCGGGGAAGTATTCGCATCCATTGCCCCCCCCAAGGATCCAGCGCAGGATTCCCGCAGCGGTGGACGGGGATGATTCCTGGCGGTGCAAAGCTGTCGCGGACGAGATGGGGGGGGGTGGGCGGTACGAAATCAGCTGCGTGCCGCTGTTTTCGGTTCCGCCGCCCAGTGCGTTCCTTGGTGCGTGGCCGTTCCTGGCGCTGGGAGGAGCTGGGGAAACCAACAGCATGCAGCCGATTCGCCGAACCCCTCCCGCTTATTGCCCCCCCCGTTTACGGGGCCCAGGGCTATGCACCACCGCCGCTTCCCTCAGCCCCTCCTCCTCCCAGGGAAGAGGAGCGGAAAAAGAGGATGGAGGTGGTGGTGGTAGTGGTGGTGGTGGTGGTGATGGTTTTGGTGGTGGTGGTGGTGGTGGTGGCGGTGGTGGTGGTGGTGGTGGTGGTGGTGGTGGGTGGTGGTTGGTGGTGGGTGGTGGTTGGTGGTGGTGGTGGTATGTATCCCCTTCCCTTCCGGCCCGACCCGAAAGCATCGGACGGCGCCCTCCCTCGGTCGGACGGCGTCCGTCAGGTCGTGCCCAATTTAGACCTCTTCTTGCGCGTGCTGGGCTCCTGCGGCGGGTCCGCCGCGGCGCCGAGGGCCGCGCTCAGGGACTCCTCCACCAATAAGGCTCTCTGGCCGAACGGGCGCTCGCCCGCCCCGTCGGGCCCCGAACCCGGCTCGCATTGTCGAAGGGGGGGCGAAGGAGGAGGAGGAGGAGGAGGAGGAGGAGGAGGAGGAGGATTGGGGAGGAGGAGGAGGAGGAGGAGGAGGAGGAGGAGGAGGAGGAGGAGGAGGAGGAAAAGGAAGGAGGACCAGTCTAAACCCAAAATGTTTCAACGATGTTGGCATATTCCATCCCTCGAAGCCCCTTCTCACAGGCCACTACAAGGGTTCTTTTCCACTGATGGAAGTGCCCCGTTGGGAGACAACCGTTTGAAGATCCTGAAGCGTGCCAAAACATCATTCTCGGGACCCCAACGCTACGAATCAATGTGATTGGTGCGTCCTGATGATCCTGAATCGTGCCAGAACGCCGTTCCTGAGGCTCCAGCACCGCGAATCAACGTAACTTTTGCGCTTTGACAGTGCTGAATCGCTGCAAAACGCAGTTCCTGGTAGTTTTACATGCGAATCCATGAAACTCCTGCAGTGCTTAAATCGAATTGGCGCGGTGCTAAGGCGAGAGTCACATGTTGAAAAAGGGCTGCCCTCAATACGTGAAACACTTGCCAATTAATTATTAAGACAAGTGTGTGCGGCGCTTGGGCGAGAACTGCATTTTGAAAACCACACGCGTCCAGTTCGTGAATCAAAGACAAGTGTGCGCAGCGCTCAGGCGAATACTAGACTTTACAAAACAGCCGCCCTCAACCCGTGACGTTGTTGCACAGTTTGAAAACGAGTATGCGCGTCGCTAAGGCTGGAGCCACATTGTGAACACCTTTCGCCCTCGATCCCTTGAAGTGCTGCACGTGTTTGCAGCGAAGGCGCGCCGCGCTAAGGCGAGAGCCACATCTTGAAAACCGCCATCCCCTCCGGCTGTGAAGCTGTTGTCTGTCTTTCAGTTTCAGAGTCATACGTGGCGGGGAAGTCTCAGGCGAAGCGCCCGGCCCGCCCTTCCGACTGACCTTGGGGTGCGACAGGGAGGTGTTGTTCCTAGGAGCAGGAGTGGGGGAGGAGGAGGGAGGAGGAGGAGGAGAAGGAGGAGGAGGAGAAGGAAGAGAAGGGAGGCGTTCGAGTTTATGTTGGGTCGGGATGGGGAGGAATCTGATGCATCGGGGTGGATTCGAGTTTATGCTGGGTCGGGATGGGGGATGTGGACTTCCTCGCCGACGCCTGCAGATCCAATGCTCTTGTGCCCACGCTGGCTCTCCTCTTTTCTCGTTTCTCTCTGCACCTCCTGTTCCGTTGATTTCTTCTTTCAGGCGGTTTTATTGTTATCTCTGCAACCATTTGCCGCATGAGCACTACAGCTCCGTTGCTAAAGTCTGCTCAACGTCAGCAAAATGCGGACGAGGAGGGAGGTGTTCGAAGCTTTTTTCCTCAATTGGGCGTGCCGGAGAGGCTCTTACTTGGTCGTGGAGACTGGTGCCTCGGGGGGCCTTTTTGCGCGTTCCCCAGAGATTCCTTGGGTTCTTCGGGTTCTTCGGGTTCCTCGGGTTCCTCAGGTTCCTCGGGTTCCCCGGGTTCCCAGGGTCCTCCTCGTATTCTTACCGTGCCAATGCCCAGCAGTGCCAAGCAATACCATGCAATGCCGAGCAATGCGCCCATGCAATAGGAAGCTCTCCCCTAATTGGGGCCGCGCCATGTTTTCGTGATGCTCCTGCTTTCGGCCCCTGGGTTGCCTTCGATCACCGGCGCCTCGTCGGGGGCTGTCTGTCCTCCTGAACGGCCGCCCGAGGATTG